GTTCAGCAAACTCAGATTTTTGGACCCACAGACCTTTACAAGCGGTTTTGTGTTAGCATATTCTCTTGTGAATGTGTAGGCAGGTCTCCCCCACATTGATCTTACCTCATGAGCACAAAACCTTGTAACAGACTGATCTAGAAAGAGGGTCAGAATATTCTTTCAACGTAGAAACTACTAATGAAAGTATTAATATATCTTTTTACATTGTCTTTATGTCCCATATCCTCAGTAGTTAGTCCAACTTTCTCGTAAGTTGACAGGAAGGCAAAATCAGGAACCGGATAGAATTCTTACGTTTTCTATCTTGTTCCTGATTTTAACGATCAGCCCTTATAGTACCAAAATGACCTTTTGCTTTCTACTTTTTTTCCCTTATCATATTGTTGACAGTCAAATGGAAGGACCTGCCAAGTATTGGACCGTTTGTTTTTATAGCTCTATGCTAAAACTAACGCTCTTCAGCTATTTATTTATCAATTATAATAATAATATGTCTCTTATGCCTCTACTCTTTCCTCATCTGCCTCTTCACTTTACGTATCTTATAGCCGCAAAAAATCATAACTCTTCATTGTTACTCTGATTCTCCAAGAAGGCGGCATGAAGTTTTCTTTTGCATAAAGCTTGCCTAAGTTGGGTTTATACGAGGTTTCACGAAAGCGTTACTCCCTTCAATTTTCTCATATACAAATGCTTTACTTGCAAAGCTGGTAGCTCTAAAGTCAGTCCTGATTTCATCATTTTGCTATAGCAGACGATTGCAAGATTACAATTACCCTGGCATTTCAGAGTTAAACTGGAATATGTTCACTGGCAAAAGTAAGGTTCCACCTCAAATAATTGTGGTTTATTCACCTCTTTTTAGTTGAAACGCCTGGGCAACCTCTTGCTTACAAGTTACTTAACTATATATTTTTAAATCTTTATCCTCTTGCTATTGCTAATATATATATTTCATTTCTTATCCCATACTTGCCTTCATTCTATGCCATCTTGCCCTTAGGTTAAGCGACGCAGCTGTCTCGAAGTTCCAGTCAGTGGGCCATTGACCAGTTTCCTTACGGACCTTGGATTTGAACATCGATTTGATTTTGTTGCTACTGGCCAGATCTTTGTTCGAGGTCGTGTGAAGGCGATTGTATCGCTTATCAACGAGGTGACGCAATCGATTGTTTCCTCCAATCCAGTTGATGGTTGCTTCACGGTAGGTTCATATTCTTAATTAGGAGGTACATAATATGCATCTGTAATATATTCATGAATCACTACTAATACAATCCTGAATTAATTTAGTTTAAGCCTTAGTTTTATTTACAATCTTAAAACGGCATACATTTTATGTTGACTTGGCATCGTTTTCGCAACTTCGTCGGAGCGACTGGGAGACCTTGTGGGACGTATTCAGTTCTATGTTTTCTGCTATAGTATTCGTGATTATTTCCAGCATCAGATCTTTGACTTGTTACATTCCCAGACCTTTCGCCGGCATCGCCAGTGATTAGGGCGATCGTTGACGCAGATTTACAACTTATCAAAGTGCAAGGGAAGGAAATACCATTGATCGATTTTATGCTATACCATGGTGGCATCACTCCTCTCCCCTATTTTTGTCATACCTTCCAGTGTTGCATCTCTTTCTCACAACTCCACCTTTTATACGTTCTCGTTTCATTCCAATGTCACCTAAGAGTACGTCGCTTTACGATGATTTATTGAAGCATAATCACCTTCACCATCGGTTTTATATACCGTTTGCAGGGCTTCTGGGTCATTGCTTATGACTTTCATTCACTCCCCCTCCACACAGCCACCCCGCTTATCAGTTGTTCTTTGTTACATATTAAAATCACTGTCCACATGTCTGAAATCTGGTTACTTATGAGCCTTCAATTCCGATCTCCTTTTACGCCATATTCGAGGATTTAAAGAAAAATGATTGCCATGCATACTAATCTTCTTTCTCCTAGACTTCAGACCCACGACTCAGCCATCCATTTTCCTACCTTCATGCGCTACCATTTTTTCTGGGACACTGTGTCTGGCTTGATTCGGAATTGCTGATGTGAAAATGGACCGCTTCGATCTTTAGTCCTGAATCGTGTAAAGCATGCTCCTTATCTCTTAGGTTGCCAGTTTCACCTGATTCTATGGTTCTAGTCAGTTGGGCATAGTTACGTTGGTTGCTAACCTTCGTCGTCGGACATTTCGCTAATCACCTCCCATTAAAGACAAGCTAACAAATGCAGATAAGCATACACAGATTGGAGACAAATTGATATTCTCCTCTCTAGATCGGTTTTCACACCCGATCAGTTTAAAATGGACCTAGATCGTTAGCCTAGCACTTCTGATAGCGTAAAATTAGCATGTTTCTGGCCTTTAATTTCCTATTCCACATCCCACGAGTGACTTCGGGGACTTTTAAGGTTGATTCCAGGTTTGACTCTTCTCATTCCCTCATTCTCCTATTCCTGTCGTTGAATAGGTGTCCTTGACCCAAGCGTCTTATTTTAGTTGTCCTTGCTGAACCTCCAAATTTATTCCAGATATACGCGAAATTCTCGCTGACTCTTTCCGTTTCCAATCTCCTATTCATCAGGTTTCTTTGAAAAAGGATGCTCACAGTCTTCCTGATCTTCCTTCTCTGCCGTTTTCTCATTATGAATCCAGTCTTTCCGTTTTACTCACTTTATTTATGCGATAAGTCAGGGAAATGTGTTCAGTTATCTTCGATCTTTCCATATCAATTTTTCTGCAAATTTGCTTGTATTCCTTGGTCTTTGTGCTAAATATCCTTCCAGTCTCTGCGATATACTTTTATTTATTTATACTGACGTTTTGTTGACATTTGGTCTCAAATTTTTATTACTTCCTTCATATTTGCGGATGAGTGAATTGGTTGCGGTTGGCATGTAAAATAGAACAGACAGTGAATTGTTCCTTTTCTTAATTAAATGTTGTGACATTTTGATCGCTTCCGTTACCTTTTGAATAAAAAATAGTTGTCACATTTTGCTTTGCAAATACGGCTACTCTACACTGTTAAGGGTGCTTTTGGAATCACTTGTCAAGAGTTTACGCTGCACTATTACGATGCTGGTGACACCGAGGCGAGGTTGAGATTTAAGTCCACTTCACTCTGTATGAAACCATCTTTTGGGAAGCAAGATTATGTTAAATTCAATTCAAACATGATGCCTACTTATGTGTATGTGGGAAAACTCAACTACAACTCCTTTAGCTCCCTAAACGAAATAAGCTGATTACAACGATTGTATTCAGGATAATTTCCTGTAACCTACGATTTACTTAAAGTCCAAATATTTTTTAACTTGCTATTTTTGAGACACTCATAATAAAATTCTGGGATAATCTCGAAATTAAGCATATTTTCGCTAACCATATATTTAAACAGTCCATTTATCTGAATTCTTTTGCACCTATCTTCTTTCTTTTTATATTTACTATGCATCAGGATATCTGTAATTCCAGATCTTAGCCTTTTATACAAAATTACTGCATTAGCTCAGTGAAACTTTTTGTTTTATTTTTTCCTATTACAGCAGTTAATTCGATGCAGTAAAATTGTCTGATTTGTTCGCATCCTCTTTATAATGATATTCTCTTTAGTCCAATGCATTATCTGTCCATTATTTTTTTCACAAATTTTCGCATACTTTATTTGGATGGTTATATCGTATCATTGGAGATATATAATTATCATTTTTTATATTCAGGATATAGTTCCGGAGAAGTGGAGGCCGTTGGCACCACATGTCTGGCTGGTAGAGGTTAGTGTGGTGGGCAGTCCAGCAGACGAGAGTCTGCACGAAGAGTTACTCGAGTTCATGGACTTGCTACGGCCGCTTGTCACGCCGGGACAGGTTGATCACGCTATGCTTATGTGCCAGAACTAGACTGTCATTGTCCTCCGGATGCCTTTATACCCCTTGACTTCTGCCTTCCATAGACCAATGTGGTCTCCTGTTGACTTTAACTAAATACAAATGTATGCATGTGTTTCTTTACGCCAAGACGTCCTTGTATTCTTGCCATTTTTTTCACACTGTTCTCATAGATTGAGGCACATACAATGAAATATTTTTGGTCAAGGTATCCCTAGTTCTAGGGTGGTAGCATCAATGTTTTTATAGCCATTAATTTCACTAAATTTCGAATACTGTCCACTCCATACTAGCGTCATTGGGAGCCCAACTATTATCGGAATAACCTATTCCCTCTCCAAAACCTTATTCGACTTATTTGGAGATGCTTCATCGTTAGATTGACTTGTTTAAAATCGACTGTTTTTCCTTTCAAATACTTTATTTAGGTGTAAAACTTTTGGATGGGAATTGATTCGAATCGGCTTGGAATAGAGGATATACTACGGATTTCTTCATGCGAGTATTCTCTTTAAATTATTCCCACTCAATCATATATGCTACGATGTAATTTAGCCTTAAGCTAGGAGATAAAAATCAGGTGAATATGTGTCTAGGCAAGCGAGATAGTTCTTAAGGAAACCGTGATATCTAATAAAGCGATACTTCTATTGGCGTAACATTGTCTCACGATATAGTTAGCTACTCTATGCTTTCCCCAAAAGTGAGTTAGGTGGTTGCGGATGGAATGTAAAACAGAATTGGTAGTGATCAAGCCTCTTTGCCTAATTCGCTTATACCTTTGTTCAAGCAATTCCGATTTGTGATTGCCCTCGTATTGTATGTATAAAATCCTATTGAGACGAGTGCGATGTGGGAGTTAATCACACATGCAGTACTTCTTTCTTCCCTGATCCAATGTGACAACCATAAGCTGATTCCGGTAATTCCCTACACTCTTTTCTTGTATTCAGAGTGTTAACCATTTTGTTGAGCTCTATAGGCTAATTTTCCGCTTGCGTATTCTGTTTAGCCTACTAAGCGTTTGGTGTTTCCTTAAGTCTCGTAACAGCCCGAAACCCACCCACAAGGTAGCATTACAGAGAAAAGTTTTATTTCTTATACATTATTTTCTCACTCAGTAGTTCTATCTTTTTTGATAGTTTCTAATAGTAACAACAGAAACCTAGTGTAGTGTTTCATCCGTCTGCCCTACCATCCGCAACCATTTCACTTCCTTACAAGCATGTAGGTAAAGCATAAAATATTGTGAAATGACTTCCCATTTGAAGGAAAAGTTGGTTGAAAGGAATACGTGATATAGTCTCACCGGAGACCGAGGGAGGATTGCCGCATAGAGTAGACAGTTGTATTGTGCTAAAAAGTCCTTGTTTAACCGCCCTGCGACCCCGATGAAACCGTGCTAAGCAAAAATACCAAACCAACCTAGTCACTTTTTATACACCTAACCCTGCGAATGTAATGAGGCATCCAATGATTTGGTTGGATACCTTAAAGGTACTCTACATTCTTGCGGATAAGTGA